AAAAGGAACTTGGGTGATAGAAGAGGTGCTCAAAGCTATTGAAAAAGGTTACCAGATTATAGAGACTACGAATATGGGAATACGATACAATTCAGCTCAGTAAAGACCAGAGGGGTTATTTAGCGGAATGATGAACAAGTTTCTAATAAAACAACAAGGTTCAGGATGGCCCAAACATTGCTTAACGGATGAAGAAAAAACCGTTATATTGATGCATTTTTGGATAGAGAAGACTAAAGCTGGAATTTTCAAAAATTATAGAGGAACCCCTGTTTGAGATCGTTAGCTAAACTTATGCTGAATTCCTTTTGGGGTAAATTTGCTCAAAAAGAAAACCAAAACAAAACCTCAATAGTCAGAGACTGTGGTGATTCTTTGATATGCTGACTATCCTTCTATCTCATGTAAATACAGTTCTCCCGGTAAGGAAGAAGAAACCTTCTCATAACTTGGGAATTTAGAGAAGAGGCCTATGACGTTTCTTCAACGGTTAACGTTGTATTGGCTCATATGTCACGGCCCTAGCTAGACTAAAATATATTCATTCTTGGAGAAAGTGGAAGAAAGGGCAGTTACGTAGATACAGATTCATGTATTTATATCTCTCGTAAGGGATTAAACGACATATCTACAGGCGACTTCATAGGTGATTATGACCGATGAGCTCAATGGGGTTTCATATCAGAGTTTGTTTCTGGAGGACCTAAGAACTACGCCTACAAATATACTACTTTGTCTGGAGAGGAACAGATCGTATGTAAAGTAAAAGGCATATCACTCAACTACAAGGCATCCCAAGTAGTCAATTTTGAGAAAATAAAAGACATGGTGCTGAAGAAATCTGATCCTGTTTCTGTACTTTCTCGACAGCTACGACGTACAAGAGAGCATGCAGTAGTAACAGTCGAGTTTCCTAAGGTATACAAGATAACTTCAATGAAAAGGAAATTCTATGAAGATCATACCTCTGTACCATTTGGATTTAAGAAAATAAAGTATTGATATTAATGTATGTAAATACACTCTTCCTATGTACACAACAAACAACTTACTCGTGCGCGAAGAGAACAAGCCTACCCCCAACCCTTACCACAAACGCTATCTACGCCCGCGCCAGCACCAGCACCAGCAGAACGAGCCCCATGTGCATGCGCGCTACTAAGGGGAATGGTGACAAAAAAGGCGTTGAAAAACGGCGTGCTTTGGTCTAGAGTGACTGGTCTAGAATGACTTTTGGTCTAGGTACGTTTTTTTTTTGAACACGCTAAGTTTTTGAACCTCAACCACGCACTAACATTACTTCTGATGTTGTACCTCTGGCGGTTCGGGCTATCAAGACAGCTTTTTGGTATTTTTGAACAAAGTGTGCACGTCACGTGTCACGTGACGTACGCCACGTGCGTCAAGTGTCACGTGACGCACGTCACGTGCCACGTGCGTCACGTGTCACGTGACGCACGTCACCTGTCACACGTACGTCACCTGTCACACGCACGTCACGTAGGTCACGTGACGTACGTCACGTGATGTACATCACGACTTAGCGTGTTCAAAAAACACGCACACACAATACTAACATTACTTCTGATGTACCTCTGGCGGTTCGGTATCAGGACATCTTTGTTCAAGATCATTAGCGATCATATGTCTATAGACCAGAACGAGCCGCATGCGCATGCGCGCACTCGCGAGAGGGTAAGGGGAATGGCCACGGAGGAGCGTTGGGAATTGCTAAGTCTGAACTGAGCACGTCTGTTCACTGCAGATAACTGACAAGGTAATTTGCGGTGATTCATAGGTATTTATAATCTCGATTTTACCCACCAGTTTTAACTAAGTCTGAACTGATAAGAGCACGTCTAAGAGAATTTGCGGTGATTCATAAATATTTTTATAATATCGATTTTCCCACCACTTTTTAGATAAGTCTGAGCTGAGCATGTTTTGTTCGCAGCAGATAACTGACAAGATAATTTGCGGTGATTCATAGGTATTTAAAATTTCGACCTGTTTTTACCACTTTAGAAAAATCGTTGTTTACGAAAATTAAGAGATAACCTGTCATCTTTTGCAACCGTGTGACAACAGTGTTCCAGGGTCACCGCTGTTATCGTTGGCCAATATTAACTCGTTGACACCCCCGCGAGCAGTACTTCTTGCATATCACCGCTACGACAACACCTTCACTGAACGACTATCTATCTAACCTCATTTGCGACATAGGTGATTACCAACGCACCCGACCCCGCCGTCCACCATTCAGCTATACCATCAACACCGTTCAAATTTCCCGCCGTCTGATCCACCAATCAGAGCACCCCGGTCCCAAAAACTTCTGTCTGACCGACCTGTATGGCTGAGCGACCAATGGGTATCACCATTTTAGGACACGTCTTGCTATATACGACAAGGTCCGTGTCTCCCACGAGCAATTCCACACACACCTCCCATGTGAATGGAGCTTATTTCGATCTGACGTTATACCGTCGGTTCATCGACCCGTCGGTAGGGCCCCAAAAATTTCTATCGACCCCTGTATGTGGGTCACTCTACGACACCAGTGCGACATCGACACCATCTAGCGCTTAGAGACACAACTCACACTTATCAATGATACACATAACGTTTGACAGATGACGTTTGTATGTAGCGTCATCTAGCGGCGAGAACCACAGACTATCAGGTGATGGGTAACCTGTCGGGTATTTCATTCAGGCTACTGCAAGATGGCATATCTCAGCTATTTTACGAAAATTGAAGTTAAAATTTTAATCACTTTCTATTTATCATTAGACCTATAACCTGTAAATGTATGCTAAAATTATAGCACTCCGGTCGGTGTTGCCTTAGAAATACTATGAATTTTTCTTCCAAGAATCGCCCTCGAATTCTATCTGTTTTTATTATTGTCTTGCGTAAGACTTGCTATACATACCTAAATTGGGTTACAGAAACATTTCTGCTTCATCCCACATTCCCAGTTTATCGTAGTATTTAACTATTTTAAAAAAGTAAATGTCATAAATATTAATACTAATATAAACGTAACACTTTTCAACAGTTCATCTTCAAACGAAGACATTTGTGGTTTAATATTCACGAAGGAAAGATCAACTGCCAAAAATATTGCACCATGTACTGAAAGATTTGAGTGAACATGTACCAGAGTTCAGACATATAAAGCCGGATTTCGTTGTGGGATATAACGGAAACTCTTTTAATAGCACCGTAGAATCACTTCCGATTAATAAGAAGAACAGATAAGTACTTGATCGTTTTTAGAAACAAGGAGATTAACATTTTAGTGGCGCCAAATGTAAGAGAAGGTGTAGATATACCAACTTGTACTATGGCTGTCAGGTAATTTTATTCACTAGTTTCTCATTGATTCGCTTGAATAAATCAAGATATGCTAGAGGAAAGCTCGTCACCGATAAATTGCATATAATACGTAGCTCAAGCATTCTAGCCAGATCTTTGCATATCAATTAAAAGTAAAGTTTGAGTCACTGTTCGTAGGCTCTAGGGTACGAACGCAGCATCGGTTTCGACCGAATTGGCCAAAAATGCCCTTCGACGACACATTTGGTCGTAGGCTCATGAACCTACGGGCAAAGGTTTGGAAAAGATCCGGTCGCGTACCAAGCGGACATAACATGGTCAGCGTATGAAAAATACTTTTTCCTCAACAATTAAACAATACATGGCTTCTACAATATCTGATTGTTACTTTCTACCATATCTATCCGTAATTTCAACAAGAATATTAAGTGACTCTACTTTGTTGCATTTTGTTTTTTTGCTAGCGCCATAGTCTAACCTTTTACATGCACAAAAATAGAGGACCCACCGGTAAATTGTCGATACGGCTGACCAAAGGACTGAGGAGATTATAAGTAACTATCTAAATTAAGTATATTTCGGTGTGTACCCTGTATCCCCTACCATTTATAATATATTATTTGATTTTTTAATTGTATAATTTTAAAAATATCTGCATTTTAATAGTACATATGTTTTATTATCAACTTTGTAGATTAATGTATGGTCTTATCGTGAAACTGCTTTTGCAGTAACCTATTATTTCCGTTATAACGGTGGGAAGCAATATGTGTTTTCATATCCCAACGAATGTCAAAGAAACAGTATTATCGGATACCAGCGCTGATAGATGTTATGCCTTTTCAGTATGTTTTTTTTTCTGTAGCCTTCGGTTGTCTCTGGTGCTGTTCGAAGTTCTATGAGGTTATCGTGGCTTCTCAATTTTTTCGGTGCTCATAAAAAATAGTATAGCTATTATCGAAAATATAGTTTTTATTTCTACTTTTCGTAATAACCATTTACGTAGTGATACGAAGTTCTACATGGTTATCATGCTTCTCAATTTTTCGTGCCCGTGCAGTACAGTGTTGGTACCCGTGCAGTGCAGTGCCCAACACGTAAGATAGTAAAATGATTATTATTGTAAAAATAGGAATTCAAAACTCTATTTTATTAGTAATAATCGATTACTTTTACGTAGTTTCCTCTCTACACTGCTTATGAATCTGCTGTATTTTTTATTTTCCAAGATATTTTTTTGTGATTATACAAAGTTCCACATGGTTACACTGCTTCTCTTTTTTGGTGTATATTACTGCAGGCGTTTAATAATAACAATGCATACTTTTAAATTTTTATATGGAGTAAAAAGGCTGAACAATTTCGGGTGCAAAAATATTTTTCAATTAGGCGGGAAATAAAAAACAAAAAATCATTTGCATACATTTTATTTTACATGTTTATTAAAAAATATTTACATACATTAATAAATCAATACTTTATTTTCTTAAATCCAAATGGTACAGAGGTATGATCTTCATAGAATTTCCTTTTCATTGAAGTTATCTTGTATACCTTAGGAAACTCGACTGTTACTACTGCATGCTCTCTTGTACGTCGTAGCTGTCGAGAAAGTACAGAAACAGGATCAGATTCTTCAGCACCATGTCTTTATTTTCTCAAAATTGACTACTTGGGATGCCTTGTAGTTTGAGTGATATGCCTTTTACTTTACATACGATCTGTTCCTCTCCAGACAAAGTAGTATATTTGTAGGCGTAGTTCTTAGGTCCTCCAGAAACAAACTCTGATATGAAACCCCCATTGAGCTCATCGGTCATATCACCTATGAAGTCGCCTGTAGATATGTCGTCTAACCCCTTACGAGAGATATAAATACATGAATCTGTATCTACGTTAAACTGCCCTTTCTTCCACTTTCTCCAAGAATGATATAATTTTAGTCTAGCTAGGGCCGCGTGACATATGAAGCCAATACAACGTTAACCGTTGAAGAAACGTCATAGGCCTCTTCTCTAAATTCCCAAGTTATGAGAAGGGTTTCTTCGTTTACCGGGAGAACTGTATTTACATGAATAGAAGGATTAGTCAGCATATCAAAGAATTCACCACAGTCTCTGACTATTGAGGTTTTGTTTTGGTTTTCTTTTTGAGCAAATTTACCCCAAAAGGAATTCAGCATAAGTTTAGCTAACGATCTCAAACAGGGGTTCTCTATAATTTTTGAAAATTCCAGCTTTATGTCTTCTCTATCCAAAAATGCATCAATATAACGGTTTTTTTCTTCATCCGTTAAGCAATGTTTGGGCATCCTGAAGCTTGTTGTTTTATTTGTAGAAACTTGTTCATCATTCCGCTAAATAACCCCTCTTGGTCTTTACTGAGCTGAATTGTATCGTATTCCCATATTTCGTAAGTCTCTATAATCTGGTAACCTTTTTCAATAGCTTTGAGCACCTCTTCTATCACCCAAGTTCCTTTTAGGCTTCTTTCTTGAATAGAATGCTGACCTCTTCTCGAACGAAATCTTCACCACATTTTTGACAGTTAACAAACATCAATTTGTTGTTCATTTTTGACGGTAAACGGGGTGATATAAGTTCTGGTTCGGTAGAATCTGGCATTTAATAAGTCCTGACATCTGCGACAGAGAGGCTGTAACACATTCTTCACCTACGTAAATTTTTTTTGGATGACCCACCGGAATTTTCCATATTTACAGATGAAGGGGTACAGGGAACATATATCGACATATTTTATGCATTCATTTGTTTTGATCTTGTAGTATTCAACGATATTTTCTGTACGTCCCCCGTAGAGAGCGTCTCTGGGGTTAATCGGTAAATTGATTATCAATGGATGTGCTTCTGTGAAGGCTCTAATTTCATCGTTTAGCATTCCTCGAAATTGACATTCCCATATCTCAATTACTTCTAGTCCAAGGCTTCGGAGTCTCTCTACTTTGCTAACTGATTGTTCGTATCGACTTTCCAATGTATTCAACGGATCATTATGCAGAGGATTGCTTCTGTTGTATTTGAAACATCGAGGGCAAACCGTGAAAATAGCATCCTTGGAATTCAAACACTTGATTTGTGTCGCTACAAAAACCGTCTACTTTATGTCCCTTAACAATGGTTTCTATACCCTTAGCGGCGTGTTGAATTTTGATTCCTCTTTGATGTTCCTCCCACACAGCCATTGGATGGCAATTTTTGACTGATTTTCACGCCATCTATAGCCCCCTTTTGGAATTACCCGATCGTCTCAGGTTTTAAAAAATTGCGTCTAAAGACTTTGTTACAGCATGATGCAATAGTGGTGCTTTCCTGGAAGGGATCGACTGTGGTTTCGGTTTTCATCAGGTCTCGAAATTTGAGACACGCCTGTGTCAATATTTCCACATCGGAGATACAGTATTCAACGATTTCTTTCTGAAAATCAAAAACGTATCCCTCCGCTTGTCTTTCGCCATGCCATTTTAATAATTTTTCCCGAGCGTCTTCCTTTAAATGGTCGGGATCGTAGAAGTCGAGCGCTGGAATTGGCCCTACATAATTCTGATGAGCCAAAGTGTTGAATAAATGTGGAAAGTATCCTTTCTTTAGCTCTTTCAAATCAAACGCCTTGGGTAGAGCAGTTAGAGGCATAGGAAAATAATTGAGAGAATCCAGAAATTTTACATTTCCTACCTCCATCAATATTAATTTTGTTCCTCTCATAATTACATTCGGGTACAGACTAGTCTTCTCTAAAATGTAACGAAGTAGAAACTGATGATCAAATCCTCCACCATTATGCGCCAGTACAATGACTTTCTTGAATTTTTTACGAAGTGTCAGAATATGATGCATAATGGAGAAATGACGTCTTGACATCGAAGAATCTGTATTCGAAGGCCACATTTCTTGCATATAGGATTATCGTACATGATTCACAACATTGTTTGAATACACATAGATTTGGCTCATGCAGTAAAGATCCATTGGGTAATTCCTTCTCCTGACGGGTTTCCAAATAGTAAAATATTAATAAGACATCATTTGATTTAGGAATACTTCTGTCAGGCTGTATATAGCACATATGTTCAATTGGTTTGATTTTTATAACATGTTTACAAAGTATATATCCGCAGATGTGATCATTACCGTTGTGAACTTTAAAACAGTCTACACATCTTTTAATTTTAGAACAGACCGATGGTAAATGAGCGTTAAAACATTCTTGTCCATAAAAGTTTCTATTACATTCTTTGCATTTGATGTGCTTCGTTTTCAGGCAGGCCGGAGATCTTTACAAGCATAACATTGTTTATCACATCTATGAATTTGTTTAGTATTATACGGAATGTGGCAGTTCTCACAAAAAAAGCTGCAGCAAAAGGCAGCAGTGAGGGATGTTATGACGCTGTAGTGCCCCTCGTGATATATTAGGTTAAGCGTCGGACCAGCGGACACGCCTTCAAAAATGACGCCACGACCTTTGCACCCAAACTTGTATACAACAATTTTGTAGTTTTGCAGATATCGTTGTAGCTTTTGAAGTTCAGGTATTCCACACCCCTCCTCAGGGATAACAATATCAGCCTTTTCCACAAGTTGTACAGCTCTTTGTCCTTGTATTTTTCCTCGATCACGGCGGATTCTGCTATAATCTTTGTCTTTGTTCAAATGGGCCATGGCGATGACAAGGGCTCGTGGGAGACACAAATTATCGGTGTTTTAACGGTGATAATGCTTTTTCTTTTGGCGCATTCCTCATCAAAGGTATTGAAATTCTGAGCTCTACCACGACCAGCAGGCAACCTTACGGACGTAATACCCAAGCAAAAAGTCTCGGTATTCAACCCCACAGAATTTGACTGATAGATGGAAGATATCTTCTCCCATATGTCCTCAGTTGAAACGTCGGAAAACAATTTAAAAGCTATCCATCCTTGACCGCGGGGTAAAGTCTTTGGAACAGAAAGTGAATCCAACTTGATCACCTGGGCTGGAGATGTTCAGTTCCTTTGGCTACTATTTCCTCCAGAGCGTCTTTGATCCATCCCACAGGTTCGACGTCTTTAGGGATAGGTCGTATTTTAAATTCCACTTCTCGCCCATATAGATTAAATTTTTTAATCTTCTTAGTAGAATCCTTAACGATGAAGAATTTTTCCATTTTTAAAAACTAAAACGTTAACTAGCGACTAAATCTGAACTGAGCACGTCTGTTCGCTGCAGATAACTGACAAGATAATTTGCGGTGATTCATAGGTATTTATAATCTCGATTTTACCCCCACCACTTTTTAACTGACCACAGTGTTTCAAGGTCACCGCTGTTATCGTTGGTCAGTATTAACTCGTTGACAGCCTGCGCTTCCTGCCCATTCACCCATGCTTAACAGCCCCGCCCGGTACTTCTTGCATATCACCGCTACGACAACACCTGCCCTGAACCTAACCTCATTTGCGACGTAGGTGATTGCCTTGTTGAATTTATTAGATACACAATATAGACTGTACTATGTTTTCAATATTGTATCAATGTTAAAAATTAACTAACATTAACTGTATGCACCACATATATGAGCAATTCCATTTTTATATGCACACTGAATATGACGTGTTGATTATTGAGATCATACTATAGCATTGTTTCCCGCGAATTTTATACGTTTTTCCATTTAAAACTGAATCAGCAGAATTGCATCTATAAATATCATTATTCATGGGCTTTTATCGATCTATATGCAAATATTTACCGCAAAACATGAAATGAGTCACATCGCTTACGCATAGACGTTATACTACACCTTACTATCGTCGGCTGTCTGAATCACTTCCGGTCGGTTGCGCCATCTAACGGGCCCGCCAATCAACATATACCATCAACCCGTTCAAACTTCCCGCCGTCTGATCCACCAATCAGAGCACGCGGGGATCTAGCGGTTCCCGCCAATCAACATATACCATCAACCCCCGTTCAAATTTCCCGCCGTTTGATCCGCCAATCAGAGCACGCGGTGGATGTGGTGGGCGTGGCCAAAAAGTGGAAGTGGTGGGGGCGCCCAGAGTGCACCAGTATCTACAACCTGAATGCGTAACTAGCCAAAAGCAAAAAGAGCTGAATGATCTTTTTCTAAGCACCTTAAGCTTCTACCGATTTAGTGACCCCACAAAAAGGCCTAGGCTCCCAAAGCTTCTACTAAATGCAAAATCCAATCAAATAATACATCAGATGGACGAAATTCTTTTACGCCACCTAGAACACTGTGATGACTTAGAAGAAGTACATCTATCTATCTATGCGGCAGCTGCTACTGTGGTGAACGTGAATGGTCAAAAGTTACTACCACCTAATGACGCGCCTCTTAAAAGACATCGAAACGTAGTGAGGAGCCATGGAAACTAAGACTCATGAAAGATATTGACTCATGTAGAGCTGAGGCGGATCTCATTTCAGAAATACCAAGGAGGCAATAGGTCCCGAAAGGTGATCAAGAAAATTGCCAGATATTAAACGGAAAATTAACGTACCCCCCAGCTGCGATATCGATAGCTCATTTTTAAACCTGCATAGAGATAAAATGAGGCAAGAAGCCAAAATGAAAGGTGCCCGGCTCCAAAGATATAATGAGACCAGCAAGCAGAAAGCAGCAAAATGCTTTGTTCGAGAGAAACCAAAACCAGTTCTACAGATCTATCATCCCAGAATCATCTTCGGAACCCAAAGGCATTAGAGATACGCAAAATTTTGTTAAATTTTGGAGTGATATTTGGTCCGAACCAAAGCCATCAGACCTTAATGCGCCTTGGATCAAAGAGGTAGTGAAGGCAGCTAAGGTAACCCAATGAGCGTTGCAATATTCTCTCAAGATGACGTAAGTAGAGTGCTAAAAAATGCTGCTGATTGGAAAGCGCCGGACCCGACAATATTCAGAACTTTTGGCTCAAGAAGTTCCTAAGCACACATGCTGCATTGGGTCGATCACTTTCTAAAGCAATCACCAACCCGGAGATATTACCTAACTTCTTGACGAAAGAATAACACATATATATTTAAAAACGCAATCCTGAAGATCCGAAAAACTCTAGACCAATTACATGTCCTCTCTGTGTTTTATAAACTACTAACAGCACTTTTGAATGACCAAATATATACTCACTGTGAAGCAACAATATCATTGCTACAGAACAGAAGGGGTGTGTCCGTGGTTCTTTCGGATGCAAAGAGCAACTTATAATTGATTCCGTTATTACGAAGCATGCGTGTAAAATAAGAGAAATCTCCATGTCTGCTACATCGACTACTCTAAGGCGTTTGATTCCGTGCCACATAATTGGCTTTTAAAGGTGCTGGATATATATAAGTAGACATCCGCATCATAAACCTATTGTCCCATCTGATGATGAACTGGGGAACCTCTTTAGAGTAATTCGGAGGACATAGGAGACGTGCGCATACGCAGAGGCATATTTCAGGGTGATTCTCTCAGCCGATGTGGTTCTGTCTAGCCCTGAACCCACTGTCATCACTGCTGAATAATTCCAAGTTCGGGTATAGGCTCGATGTGAGTGAGCCTACCAGATTCAACCATCTGCTGTATATGGATGACCTCAAACTATACGCCGAGTCAAGGCAACATCTTGCTTCTCTAGTGCGAACGACAAGTATATTCAGCAATGATATAGGAATGAAATTTGGGTTAGATAAGTGCGCCACTGTCACTATAAGGAAAGGTAACCTAACTCTTTTGGAAGAAAATTTAGAAAACATCGCGCCTCTAGCAGAAGACCAACCGTATAAGTACCTGGGGATGCACCAAAGTAGGGGTGTGTGTCATTCTACCATGAAGTCAATCTATAGAGAAAAGTACATCCGTCGGCTTACAAAACTACTCAACACCAAATTAAACTCGCAGATCTTTTCAAAGCAATCAACAGTTGGGCAATAAGTTCACTTACATATTCGTTCGGTATTGTGAAATGGAGTAATACAGACCTTGAAGAGCTAGACAGATCACTCGTATAAAGCTCACAAAGTTCCACTGTCCCCACCCAAAGGCATCAACCAAACGGCTGTACCTCCCTCGCGCACAAGGGGCCGCGGATGCTCAACATAACACAACTCTGCAAGTCTCAGATAGCCAAATTACAAAATTACTTTCATAACCATCTAAGTCCTAAGATAGCTGCTGTAGTGGAGGCAGATGACTCATTTACCCCTTTGAGCTTTCGGCAACCCAAGCAAATACGGCCTCGGAATCGAATACTAGTAGGAGAGAATGCTGGGAGGAGAAAATTCTCCATGGCCGTTACCCATGCCAACTGAGAGGTGACAACATAGATAAAGCTTTGTCATTCACCTATTTGAGAAAGGGATATCTCCATCCAACAACGGAAGGGTTCATAACTGCCATCCAGGACAAAGTAATAAAACAAAAAACTATGAAAAACATATTCTCAATCCAACGTCCCAGATGAATGTAGGAAGTGCAACCAGGCGGGCGAAACCATCGAACATATTACTGGAGCTTGCCCTGCGTTGGCAGCTGGCGATTATTTGGGAAGACACAACCAGGTTGCAAAAATAATCCATTCACAGCTAGCTCGTAAACTTAACTTGGTACAATCTCCTCCGCCATATTACAAGTACACGCCTGAGCCAGTTCTGGAATCAAAAGATGTAATACTCTATTGGGATCGGCCATTTCTAACCGACAAACTGTAGACTTTAACCGTCCCGATATTGTCTGATAGACAAA